ACCAGAGGCATACTTTAATTTGATTATGTCTCTAAGAGGGTGAAACTCCATCCAGTTAGTGACCAGAGATTAGCTATCTTAACTTAAACTCTTCTTTTAACTACCTATAAATTTCCTTTAGATTCTTCCTGGTGGAGTTTGAATTTTTTCTTCTCAATTTTTATTCAGTTTCCTCACCTCTAAAGCTGAAAGTTACCTGAAGGAAAATCCCACTCACTCACTCAGAGCTTTTAGGCAGAGCAAGTACATTTCACATTTTTCAAGAAAATGTTTGGCCCTCAATTCCAGTTGAATAACTTTAAAAGGACTTCATTTTATTATAGACAGCTAAGTCAGGTAGAAATACTATAGGTGGTCAGGGCTATGTCCTAAAGAGAGTCAAAGCAAAAGGTGAAAACACACTGTAACTGTGGCTGGAGACCATCAGGTGGGGGCTGAGGATCGCAACAAAAGGACCAGCCCTACAGGTTCCCCACAGGCTGCTAGATGTTAACTTCTGGCCCAGTGAAGTCCAGGCAGACAACGGAGACCTCCACCTACCACCTACCCTTCTTTGTCCTTTCTACACAAGCTCCATACAGAACCTGCTTGCCCACTGGATCAGTACTGCCTGAACAGCTACACTTGCACTCTGATTGGTCGATCACAGCTATAACCCATACTGTACCCACGTGTTGTGCTCTGTAAAACTTCCCAAGAAATGGGAGTCCTTGGGCAGCCCACTTTTAAGTGTCTCCTCCAGTCCTTCTCAGGAAGAGCTTTCTATCCTTCAATATGTATTTCCTACTTCTAACCTTCGTTGTTTCTAAAATTCATTCTTCAATTCCAAACATGATGTATCAGACATCTACACAGTTAGGAGTAACAACATCCCCTTATATCATATCCAGAGGTCCTGATATGTGTTAAAACCTAGTATAACATAAACTCTAAAGCAAGTGTCTATTTTGGATTGTTTTAAGGGAGTTCAAAGTCAAATGAACAATATAATACTCTGAATTACTGGTAAAGAACTCTGGCTTGTCAGAGCAGGGAGGTAACATTTCAATTTCTCTTCTAAGGGGAAGAGTGTCTCGCTCTACTACCATGCTCTTAGCAGCTTAACAGCCCTCTACCTTGTCCTCTGAGTAGCTGTCAAACTTCTGGAAAAGGCTGTGAGAAGAGGGAAGCAGCTGGTCTGAAGGGGAGGGGACCCTGCCCTGGCCTTAATCCTAGCCCTTGTGATACACACTGTTCCAGCAACACTGACCTCCATCCCCCAAGCAGCTGCAATGGCTTTAGGACATTTTCAACAGGTATGAAGTGCTAAGGGTACTTAAAATGTCTGCTCCCTCCTTTATCAATCGAGCAATTCCATGCATCAGGGTTGAAAGATAAACATTTACATTAACCAGTGCTGGGAAATCCATGTTGGTCAAAGGAAGGCCTAGTTTGGTGGAAGTATTTTGATGGGGGGAGTACTGAGGATTGAACTCACAACTGCGTGCCTTCAAGGCAGGCGCTTATGCCACTGAGCTAAATCCCCAGCCTCTATTTTGATATTTTAATAAAACCACAGTATATTTTGTTACAACCAATTCAAGAGGATTAATAAGTTAAAAGTTCATGTTTTTAAAAAAAGCCTCAATCTTTGCTATTCTATAAAGAGGTTCGGAACACACACTCTGAAGCAATGTCTGAGAAAGTATCTTTGTATATTAGTGCTCAATATTCATGAAACAAAACTATAAAAATGCAGACTAAAAGGCAGAAGCACACTGATCAACTGAAAGATGTAAAGCGGATCCTTGTTGCATGCTCTGGGGCTTTCAGGGTCAGGAAAACAATGCACCTATCAGGCTTGGCTTGTGGCAGGTCAGCTAGGTCCACGACCAGACCACAAGTTAGCATGGAATAATAAGGCAAAAAGGAAACACACAAAGCAAGGCAGCCGGTAACCCTGGTTACTCTAACCCACTACTGGACGATACATTTCCCTTCTCTGGGAACAAAAGAGAAGGACATTTATTCCCCAAGGAAAAGGAAGGCTGAGAATTGGGACAAAGGCAGACCTACGTAAAATGGAGATGATTAACACAGTCATGCAAAGTATTAAAAGCAAAAGGAATGATCTGAAATACTTTCTTAAATGCTTTTGCTTGTAGTCTGCATGCAATACATTTTCCACATCTCCCCAGGATAGTGATGTTGCCAGAATTCATTCCCAGGTTTTCCTTATAAATATATACCAAGGGAAGCACACCAATGTCTGCCTTGAGTTAAAGGCACCAGATTTTAGAACCAAGGACAAAAATGCTTCAGGAGTTTACTTCGGTTTTGCAAATTAGAAAATTTGGGGAAACTAGAATTCTGTGGCTCTACATTTCCTTAATGACTTAAGAAGGTGGAAAGGGAACTTCAGATATTAGTACAACTGAAAACATAGACAAGGTAAATGTAACTTTATTCCGATATCAACAAATAGTTTTTGACAGTGTCACCTAATTACCAGCAGTGCTAGGGCTGACTGTGGCCAATATGGGTGAGGAACTGGCCGGTAGCATTTTTCTTATGGTTCTTAAGATCATCTCCAGCAGTACCATCGGAGCTGATGTGACAGCTCAGAAAAGAGCACCACATTGGGTGAGGCTCACAGAATTACAATCCAGACCTTCAAATACTCACAAATGATTAGGGTTTCCTAATGAAAAAACGGATAGCTTAATTACTTAAGTCTGTCATACAGTGCATCACCTTACAAATCAAAGCACCAGTGTTAACACTTACACAGTACTTATACACTGAAAAAAGAATTACAGTGGAAACTTTACTTACAATGAAAAATCAAAACACTGTCACTGCATTTGAATTAATATGCTTCTCTATAAAAAGTCTAATCTCTATCAACAATTTCAGGTAAAAAACAGAATAAAGTCCAGATAAAAGAACCATCTAATTTTGTATAAACCTACTCTTTCTATTTTGCTAATTTTAAGGTAATAAATTGATGTGCACTGTATACATGCACTGTAGTTGATTCATGTAAATTTTATTTTACTAAGTGGAAAATTAAAGGTGAGAAATCAAGCTGGGCACAGTGGCATACATGTATAATCCCAGCTACCTGGGAGGCTGAGGCAGGAGGATCATGAGTTTGAGGCCAGAACACAGAAGATATAAAAAGTACATGTAACTGTATTTCTTATGTTTACAGTACAACTAGAGGAAGATAAGTGCTTATCAATATATGCTTTATATGAAGTAAACATGTTATACTTACAAAGAAATACATGGTGTGATTTAACATCAATCAATTTATCACCTTTAAGTTAGCAAAACAGATAGGTCCTGGTTTAATCCCAGTAACACACACACGCAGACACACACATGGACACACGTGCACACACACACGCGCACAGGTGCACACATAGGAAGGAAAAAGAAAAGACGACCTACATAACAGAGGTGTTCTCTCCTTCATATGACTTACTCTCACAAAGGCCTTGTAAGGCTGTTTAGGACAAGGTTAATCTCGCATTTTCAACTCTTTTTAGATATCATGATTCCCATAACCCAGTAGGCAAGCTATCAAAGTATTTTCAGAAATATTATAATAAACTTGCTTCCAAAACATGCAATGTATTAAAAATACAACATCCAAGGATTATGAAACAAGATGCGTGTACAGGTCTAAAGACAAAAAATGCAGAGGTATCACAGTTGAAGTCCTGACAGCAACGGCCTAACTTGTATTTTAGTAAACTGACTGCACATATTTTATCAGGCTTTCAGGCACTTTGCTTCATGGTTATAGAAAATAGCTGGTGAACAAGCCTCCTTCTTAAAATGAAGCTTTTGCCTGCCTCAAACACTGGCGAGCCAGGAAAGAATCAGAGACACACAAATAGGTCATCATCAACTCTACAAGTGACACCAATTCACTTTATTATTCCTATGGATAAAAGAAATGCCTTGGAGGACTGGATATGAATTATAATGGAGCAAGTAAAATAAAAATAAAAATATTCTTGAAGACTAAAAAGTCAGGAACTTGTGTGAGTTGAAAAAATGCAGTGCTGAAGTATATTTTAATAGGTCAGATCTTGTTTTAATCAAGTCCTGAAGACATGAGCTTCCTTCTTGTATCTATCTTCCACCCCAGGAAAAGCATATTTAGTATCTACTGGCATTCAGGCTATGAGCTTTGCCTCCAACAGGATTATCAATGCTACTTTCTCATTCTGACACATCCTGCTCAACTCCAGCTCAGAGGCAGTTTCCTACACCCCTTAATTACCTTCCACAATCAACTCTGATTCATCATCAAGCCTTTACCATCCATGATATCCACATTTACACCTGCACAGTCTCCTTGCAGATGGGAGCAGTACTGAGTGTGTTCTCTAGACAGGCAGGCGTATTCTGAACATTCTTCGGTTGTTCTCTACTTGGTAGAGAGAAAAACTACAAGGCGGACTATAGAATCCTTTAAGAGCAGAGAGGCCGTGTCACCCACACCTTTTGCGGTTCCCTAAGGAACTGATTGAGAGCCCAGCTGCAGAGTTAATCACATCTGCTGAAAGCGGTTCTCAGTACTCCTGGGGACCCACCCATCACACAAGCGATGATTTAAACCAAATGAAAACAAAACACAGTGATTCATTCCTCATTTCACCTTTTAGGAAGAAAGCTAAGAAATGATCTGGTCACCAGCCATGGGGCTTCTATGGCAGTTTTAGAACTTCTGCATAGCGTTAACAGAATCAGTAGGATCTAGCTGTATCTAAGCACACAGGGCTGCTTGTATATCTGACAGGAGAGCTGACCGCCCTATGTGTACTATGTGGTTCCCCAGGGTTATCTTTGACTACTGAAAAGTCCTACAATCAACTGTCAAAAAGCAATGGAGTCCTGCTCAGTAGAGACAAAACCGCACACCCCACTCCTCACACCCTCCTTCCTATCACTTGTTTTCGGCAATAATACAATGGTGAATCACTGCTGTTCTGCAGAGCACTTACCTCATTGTCTGACTCCACGAGCACTTGGTCATATTCACTAAGCGCTACGAGAAACATGATGGAGGTGACGTTTTCAAAGCAGTGTATCCACTTTCTCCTCTCTGACCTCTGGCCCCCTACGTCGACCATTCTGCAAGGTTTACAACACTCATTTTAATGACATGGAAAGAAAAGCTCTGAAACATCAGTGTAAACACATCTCTACTCACACACCTAGACTGTGGTCTCCCAAGTTAATTAATACGATATTGACTATCTATTAATTTTCTGTTACGGACAGAAAATCAAGACATTCTGGGTAATAAAATCACTGTGGTTGTTAAAAAAATTACTAGATACATAAAGACTTACAATTCTGTAAACAAAATCCTTATCTGTACCAAGAAAGATAGTATTTCATTAAGCACTGAAGAGTCAAGAACAAAAATGAGTCTTATTTGTTATTAAACCATAATGACAAATTTTAAACTTCTATAAATCAGAATAAACAGCCTCATGCATTTCTCGAGGATAAAAGGAACGGCCATGTTGAAAAGATGCAAGACTCACTACATCTCAGCAGCATATGATGCGTCAACTAAACACAACACTGATCCTGTTTACGCTTCATTAGTGCAGTCAGTATTCTGAGCTTTCCCCTCTCCCAGGACCAATAATAATTTAGGACAGGCCCAGCCATGTCAGGTAAACTGGCATAATAAGCTCTGTGCACAAACCAACTTATCAATCTGCTGGAAATAAAGCACGGTATAAAGATGCTACAAGAGAGCCAAGCATGGTGGCACATACCTGTATCCCAGCACTCAGGAGGCTGAGGCAGGAGGATTGCCATGAGTTCAAGGACAGTCTGAACTACATAGCAAGACTGTCTCAAAAACACAAAATAAAACAAAAAACAAACAAAAAAATAAAGAAAAAAGAAAAGGTACAAGATGCCACATAGAGGTTGTCGTTTAACACATGAACTCACTATCTGTTAGTGCTCAGACATTAACACTGACATCAGTAAATGTGAGTGATTTCATATATATGAAATTATCTAACAGTGCTTAGAACCAATGTTTCTTGGTTGATTCTGTTGCTTCACAGGAATGGACATGTTCACAGGAAAAGACACTCAGAATGAGATTTAGCTATAAAAGTTCAGAGTTGGCTTTATTTTTCCTGGTACTGGGGATCAAACTCAGGACCTCGCACTTGCCAGGCAGGCGCTTGTGCCGCTGAGCTGAATCCCAGCCCCTAGAGTGGGCCTCTTCGGGCCATTCTTGAAAATGGCAGCTGCTTCTGGTGTTTTCCTGTCTAACAGAATTAAGGCTAAACTAAAATTCAAGCAACTGTCAGTAACTGCTTATAAAAGGCTTCCCAAGCACCAAAGAGAAATCCGAGGGGGACAAAAAGAAAGGTTCAGAGAGAACTTGTATGATGCCCCCCTGAGCACCTCACGCCGTCCATTTACACGAACCCTTGCTCCACAAAGTCCTGTCACACGGGATCCCACAGGACACCCCTCAGCGTGGAGCATATCCCGCTTGCAGTCACTAGTACTTTTACAGTAGTGACAAAAAGGCTCCTCAGAAAGTAAGATGTGATGCTAATCTGGTTTCAGAACTCACTGTGAAGCAATATGAATGTGGAAGTCTCCATGAAGTGCTATGTGAATTCTCAAAATATTCTGCAATATGGTTAAAAAAGGCAGAAGCTGGAGTGTCTCAAACTGAAGATCTCTGAATGTTATCCAGTCAAAACCTAAGTGGTATGGTATGCCAGAGCTACAGCCATTTTACAGATGAAGAGGCTGAGGCTCACGGACATTTTTCCAAATCCCAACCATTGGAGGGTCCCGTCTTTCAGAATCCTGTGTAACAGCCAGATTGTCCACAAGTGCAGGGGCTGATTTAAGGATGGTACTTTGGTAAGAAATGACAGGGCACCACTCGGTCGGGCCCACGGAGTGAGGGGAGCTGCTGGGGGACTCTCACCTTGCAATCTACACTGCGCACACACTGTGTCAGGCAGCCTCCCGAGGAGCTCCAGTGTCTGCCCTCCACCCAAGGGGAGACACACTGGCCTCACGCCCGCCAGCGCACGTGGCCTGCACTCTGACAGCACCACGGAGTGAGTGTGCAACAACAGATTAAATAAAAGCACAGTGGCATTTTTACTTTTCATTTTAAGAGAAACAACAGAACACTCCTGCTGAAGTATCATCCAGACAGAACAGCAGCAGTGAAAGAGGAGGTAATGTGTTTTCATTCTATTTTGCTCTGTCTATTTAGACTAGGATAATTAATGCATGTGCAAAATCATGGGTTTTGAAAAAAAAAGTCAAGAAACTTAGTTTTATTGCTACTGAATGGAAACATCAACATAAAAGCTTCTGAAACGTATCATTTCTATTACGATAAGGCTGTAAGATCGTATCTTACATAATTATAGAAATATACCCATTGTCCTTATAGTTAAATAATTAAAGAAACAGGAACCAATAACTGACTTTTTTGGTGGGGGTCTTTTTTGAGACAGAGTTTCATTAGCAATTCAGGCTGGTCTTGAACTCGCTTTGCAGCCCAGGCTGGCCTTGAACTAGCAGTGATCTTCCTGCCTCAGCCTTCCGAGTGCAGAGGGCATAGGCGTGTACAGTCACTAATTTGCTTCACCACCAACCAACTAAGACATCACTAATTGCCTGGTAAGTTACAATGATGAGAACCCACTTTCCAGTACATCCTTCTCCTGCTTCCTCTTTCCAGGGAATATTAGTTATTTGTGTTTCCCATGATAACAACTCATGTAATGCTATGTTGCTTTAAACCCTACACATGATCTCAGTACTCACAGAGTTCATCAAATGTACTACAGGCATAAAAACACAAAACAGATCTTACAGATTCAACTACTACCTGAAAATGACACTCTGTAAGTCAAAGGGGTACTCGATGATCCCTGTGGTGGGGACTCGAACTCTAAGCACATCCTGTTGCGTAGGCAGGTAGGAAGGGTCGGCTACACGGTCCAGGTCATTCAGATAGCTAGGGAGGGAAGACACAAGGAGAATGTCAGTGACTGGCTACCACTCCAAACCCCCAAGGACGGCACAGCACAGCACAGGAGAGAGAAAATGTGGGGGATGGGGGCAGAGAATTGTAAGAAGCAAGATAAAGCCAACCTTCCAGGACTCAGAAGCAGATTATCTCTCTGTGGGTTGTCTATTCGCTGCATTTCTTATTTTTTGTCTATCAATTAGAACCCATTAAAAAAAGGAAAGGGTGGGGGAGAAAAAACTAACAAATTCAAATTATGTAATCTATATTCACTTAGGTCTGGTTGGTAAAGCAATAGTTTTAAAACAAATAGTTCTAAATTATTTACACTAATTTAATTTGTAAAAATAAACAGATAACAAAGTTACACAAAGTCAAAATGTTTCTTTTTTGTAAAACATCAAAGTCTTTTCCTGGAATGCATTTCCTTATTCCCCTAAGAGAAGACAGCAGAATACTCTGTCCTATATTCTGCCCAAAGCCTTAGTCATTCTCAATGAATGCGAAGCCACAAAATTTCTAGTTACTGCAGTAATAATAATGTCAGATATTCTCAATAATGAAGTTCTCAACTTAATTTTAGTATCTCTGGTCATGATACTTTTCTTTCCTCAACTTTTCATTTGGAAATAATTTAGACTCACAGGAAGTATCAAAAATACAGAAAATTTCCCTGTACCCTTTTCCCAGCTTGTCCTAACATTAACATCTTACAAAACCAGAAACCCGACAGTAATGTAACAAACTGTTAGCTACATGCTAGGCCTTATTCTGCGTCCACCCACATACATGCTCGCGTGTACATATCTGAAGTAGTATTTAGCCCTGACATTGTGTCACACGAAGAGATTCACGCAATCACCACCACAAGCAAGAAACTGCCTTGCTGTACCTTCGAACCTTAACCCTGACAGCTGCTTGTGTGCTCCACACCAGTATGATCTTGTATTTCCAAAACCTTCTATTTACTTTTTAAATTTTCAAGGTGTAAAGCATAATTTGCAATGCTGAGAATGACGTAACTGGATGGAACCGATGACTATTGCCACTGTTATCTTTATGATTTCCAAGGTGGCCTCTTCGGACCTGGAGAAGCCAGGACAGAGATGCTCTAAACACACAACTATGTGTACCCACACTTGTGACTAGAGAACAGGTGACCCATTACTGGAACTGGAAAGTATGAGACACAGTACTCAGCTCTTTGGGGCCACAAACAAGCAGTGAATCCTGAGATATGTAACAGGGAACATTGGTGCACAGCAAACACAGTCAGTGATAACACAGATACTGCACTCAGCCGATGTCCCTGCCTAAGGTAAGGGCTTTGCCTCGACGATTTTTACTTCTCCTTAGTGCCAAGCAACTAGTACTTAATGAACACTTGTTGGATAGATGGATTTGCCGTACTGTGTTTTAGTTGCAGCACTAAATTCCATTCTTACTGGTGGTGTTTTCATACCTTAAACTCCAGACTTCAGTGTTAAAAGGGAAATCTGATGCTAAGTCTGCATGATTCTGAAATCATAAAACAATAGTGCTAAGTCTGACCTTAACAAAGAAAAAAAGCTACTGCCTCTTTGGTAATGTATCAATCTTTTAAGACACAAACGAATCAGCCTACAAATTCCCAGTGCAAGTAGAGACCTTATCTAGGACAGATGAGTGATTCTCCAGCTGACAGCATGCTACTAACTGGAATCAGCTGAAAGAATACACAGAAATGAACGATAGCCAAGATTTTAGTAAATTACTTGGCAGTCATGGAGTCATGGAGCTGTCTAGTATGTTAGTAAGCCCACACTCTGGGAGCTGATCTATAACCTATTCTATAGGTAAACCAAGCCATCATCATATTTACAAAATCAGCAGGCTAGTCTGGACCAGTTGAGTTCTCTGGTACCTTCATTTGAAAATCCTGAACTCATATATTCTAAAATTCACAAAAATCACCATTAGTTTAACTACTGTACACAAGAATTTACTTCAGGTGAAGCAAAGAACTTGAAAATTACACAGGTAAGCAGGTTCAGAAAATACACTGCCTACTTCTCTTCACTTATTGCTACACACGAAAGAACAGAGGACTGCTAAGGTACCGTGAGGTAAAGGGAAACTGTGGCGCTCTGCCTCCTGAAGAGAACTGAGCAGACTATGCACAGTCATTCATTTAAAAACAGTTCCGTGCTTGCAGAACGTAGAGCAGGAGCAGGAGCCGCTGGGCCTGATGGCGCACGCTATCATTCTAGCAGGGTAGGGAGGCTGGCCCAGGAACAGCACCAACCCATGCCCCTAGGCAACAGCCTGTCTCAGCAGCGGGGCTGGGTTCAGTTTCCAGCATCACAGGGGCGGGGATGTGGCTGGAATTTACTTCAAGTGAGGTCATGGCTTCAATCTTGGGGGGCAGGCACGTGACGTGGGAGAGTAACTGTGGGACTGCACAGCAGGCACACTGGTGCCCAGAAGGATGCACTGGGCTCCCCGAAACACCTGGGTAAGATGCGGTCCAGCGCACCCCTGCAACCATAAAGCCCTGTGTGAGGTCTCCACGAATCCAGTGTCCCACTCAGACAGCACCTAAGTCCCTGAAACAGTCACACTTGTCACATATTTTTTCTCTTTGTTCTTCTCGTGCTGCTTCTGAACGGCAGCACTGTTCACACAGAGTAACGGTGAGAGCACACCAGCTTCAAGAGAGGTCTGCTGACCATCAGGGCACTGACGGGTTTCATGGCAGCGTTCCTATCTCAACGCTCTTTAAAGATGCTCCACACACTTCTGATTCACTTCAAAGTGACAGTTCTTGGTCGACTTTCCTCTTCCTCCTTTGCCTTAGTTGAATGGTGAAGAGAAAAACTCACTTCACTCGGTGTAAAAAGTTAAACTAATCTAGCTTAACAAAAACACTTTCTGAAAGGGGCTGCATCCAGCTCCGTCATTTCCAGTATTCATCATCTAGGACACAACCCGAAACAAGACAAAGAAAAACAAACCAAGAACAAAAACAAATGAATGACTTTTCTCCGACCGGAAGAGCTGGGCGCTACCCAGGCCTGAAGATGTGATCTGTGAAGCAGGTGAAGCACAGAGATGACCAAGAACTATCATTTTGTACCGCCAAGGAGGACCTGGTGTGCAGAGAAGCTGCCCAGCCATTCCACCTGCTGCCCCCGCGCTGGGCTGGTGAGAGTCAGACGATGCACTCACAGAGCCTCCTGTGTTCCACCTTTGCTGAGGGAAAAACCTCCGCTGTGTGCCCTCAGAAGTGAGTCCTGGCACGGTCAGCCTAGCACATCTTCACGTGCTGACATCTGTCACACTGTGAGGAAGGCAACAGAAACCCTCTGCACTGTACCTTCCACTGTATGCTTCACACTCTGAAGGAGAACTGGGAGAAGCGTGAGGTGGGGGTTCTACTGGGTCCTTCGTTTAACCTTTTAAAAAGAAGCACCAAGGTCTGAACCAATTAATATTGGTTCAGGGTAAATTCAGAGTTAAGTATAATCATAATTCGTTTTGTAGGAAAGGCTCGGAGAGGCTGCTCAGGCCATTCTCAGGGTGTTGCTATGGCAATGGGCACAGGTCCCTTTCTAAGGCACTGTATGTGTAACAGGTGGCTGATGTGAGGGACAGAAAGTTGTCATGGTATACATGGAATTTAATTATCTAGGAGACAAATGACATTTAAGAATATACTCAAGACAGGAAGTTTTGCTGTTTTAAATTCACCTTACTTAGTTTTAAACTTAGAACTTAGTTTTAAAAATCTTTTTAAAGGGGCCAGGGATACACCTCAGCAGCACAAGTGCCTGTCTGGCAAGTGTGAGGTGGTGAGTTCGATCGCCTGTTCTCCCTTTTTAACACTCACTACCTTTGACTGGAAGGATAACTGAAATCTCAACCAAGAACAGCACAGAAATTAAAATTCAAGAGTTTTTTAAATGAAGGAAATACAGAACAAAATTTAGAGACATGATGTGACAAGCAAAATACATCACATGACAGGTAGGGCTAAAAAATTTTTTTTAAGTAAGAGAGTTATACAAATCTCAGTAATTATACCAAAAGGGAAAAAGTAGGTCATATGTAGAAAAAGCAATTTCTAACATTTGGTGGCAATCCAACTAAACATATTTAATAAGACAAATGAAAACAGCAACTTGGGACACGCAGCGTGGCATGCCCGCCTCTCCCACCCTCGTGTGAGGGCCGCCCAGGGCCGGGCTGTATCTGTAAGCTGTGCAGTTCAGGTTAATATTAAGATGAAGTTATGGCACAGAAAATTATTCTGGGTAGGTTTTCACATTTTTAATTATTAAAAAGAAGGTTAGTAAAACTAGGTCAACTTCACATAAAAAAAAAATCCAGAAGACCTCATTGTGAGAGGAACAGTCTGCAGGGAGCTGGAGCTAGATCGTGCCATGAGATTATACGTGACACTGAAAGACAGGGGATATGGAGGAGAAACCAGAAACACACGCTATTTGTACAGCTGTGTCTGACCACCAAGATCCAACAGCAGAAAGGTTTAAAAAAAAAAGGAGAAGAAGAAATAGCAACCATTCTACAGCATTGCTGCTCCAAGAAGAGAGCCGAGCTGGGCTTTGGCACTGTGACCAGCCACATCCAGCCCTCGCCTGGCAGCTCTGGGACCCAAGCTCGTCACAGTCTGGTTGCTGCATGGAATTCCATGTGCGCTGCATAAACCTCCCAGAGCTCATTCAGTAGAGGCCACAGCAACCTACCTTTTTCTGTTTTTATCACTGGGCATATCATGATTAGAGTTCAAGTACTTATCATAGGCACTATGTTCATAAAAAGTAAGCTTCTCACACGGAATTCCAGTTGTAAAAGAAAGGCCACCCAATGTGAGCAGTTGTTATAATCACAGACTTATGAAAACTGTTCAATGTAAACTATTCTGTGGGATAAGTCCTAGGGATCATGCATTTCAATTTTCCTTACCAAGGATTGAAGCCAATCCAGAA